CTGGAGTTCTTCAGAATGACAGGTCATGTGTTCCTAAGTTGTCTCCCATATGGCTTAGCACACACACTGAATTGCAACTGTTTTTCTGTTTAGTTTACCATATGAATTGAGGTTTAATCCCACTATCAACAATCTTAAAGACGTGCCCTTCTTCTTTCCAATTCCGGCAAGATCCAGAGTATTTTCTTCTCCCTTTTTCATTGTGATGTTCAGGAACATGCACAATGAGTGATGCTGGACAGTCAGGAATCTCCTGATTATCTTTCAGCCAAAATACCTGAATCCTCCTAAGTAAATGAGGCTGTGCCACCGGTCCATTGGACATTTCATTGGCAGACTGTCTAGTGTGCCACACCTCACCCCTTACACATCATACTGCCAAACTGTTCCTAAAGTCAAACACCAGCTTACAGGTCAGCAGTGCCTGAACGTTTGGAACTAGTGGAAGTGAAGAATTTCAAGACAGCCTTGCTTTTGTTTGAAAAGTGGCTCGTATCCTTATTCACATCCTTTCTCCTTAGAAAAACCTTGGTGGCCCTTAGCCTAAAAGCCCCCAGTCTAGGAACCCGTTTTTGTTTGCATCGTATGTTGAAGGCAGTGACAGAGAGAAATCTTCCATCTGCTGGTTCTCTTTCCAGTCCCAACAGTTGGGGCTGGGACCCTGTATGGAGAGCAAGGATCCAGAATCAGAAATACAGCTGAGCTCAAACTCAGGGCTGTGCCACGGGATGATGAAGGCATCCCATGCGGCATCATTTCTTGAAGATGTATTTATTTCTATTTGAAAGGAAGAATTGCAGAGAAAAGGACAGCCAGAGAGAGAGATCTGAGTGTCAGAACTGAGCTGATTCAAAGCCAGGAGCTTCTCCAGGTCTCCCCTGTGCATGCAGGTACCTGAGAACTTGAACCATCTTCTGCTGCTTTCCCATGTCATATGCAGGGAGCTGGATCGGAAGTGGAGCAGCCAGGACATGAACGAACATCCATATGGGATGCCAATGCTACAGCAAGAAAACTAGGCTACAGTAGCTCCCCAGGAGACATCTTCATCACTGTGCCGAATTTCCACCCCTTGGGAACCTAGTTTTTTTCACTGTAAAACACAATGTAGTTTGTTTCCTTACATGGACCTACATATTTACTCAAATTTAGGCTAAATTATACTAGAATTCAAATCATGAGCACCAAATTTAAAAATTCATTCTATGGGTAAGCCTGATAGTTCTTATTAAGTAATTACTTGGGTTTGTGTGCTCATTCTTTTTTTTTTAAATAATTTTATTATTTTGATGTGTTTCATGTATATGTTCCTTATTATTATATATCATTAAGCTCCACTGGTTTGTCTATGGGAGACAGAAATAAATATTTATCAGAACTCAGGAGATAAGCTGGAGAACGATTAATTCTGCCTACGGATAGCCGTGTTAATCAATTCCCAAAACTCAGGTGCTGGCTACTGAGAAAGTATTTTAAGATGGATACATCATCTTCTACGACTATTAGCTATTTTCAGAATGGTACAGAACAAACTGCCTTCTGTTATAAAATAATCTACCCTTACCATTTCTATACTGGGAAGTTGAGGAAGGTAGGAACTATTTCTGATATGCAGGAGCAAATACTGAAGCAGTAGCTTCCATGCACTTCCTGTCAGCAAAGGTATCAGCTGCCAGAATCCCCTGATAAGTTCCATTTCAAGCAAGTCGAGTCTGGATAATGCCACGCTTCAAGGCCGCAGTCAGTACGTGTGAACTGGCAGTACTGCCAAATCCAGTTACCGTTCAGACTCAAAATAAACACCCTCAAGTTAAACACTGCTAAGTCATCCATCTGCCAGGTAACTAGTGGGCTGACCCAAGAGGAAGGACAGGCCTTTTGAGTTGTCAAAGCAGTTTTTGACCACGGCCATTTTTTCAAACCAGCAGTTGAAAAGCTCAGAGGAGAGCTCTGAGACACGTGCTTTCATGATCTTGTGGTGGGGGTGGGGAGGGAACATCTGTGGTGTTTACTAAACAAATGACAGGCTGGCCACCTGCTAGAGGAGCTGGCTCTCTTCTGGGTTGTGTTGATAAGAACTAAGAATGGAGAAGAGCCCAGATATTTGCTGTCACCAGGAAAAGCTAAATTCTGTAAGTAGGCCTCACTTTCTTCACGTGCAGAAGAAGGAGGCCTGAAAAGATCCTTTCATTTTGTTAGGTTTCCTGAGAGCCCATGATAGTGAAAGGACTCAGAAAGAACAGCGAGAATGTTGACTCGAAGCCAGAGCAAAAATGGTTTGAGATTATACCATGATTCATTACCTTTTTCTTAATTGTCAAATAATCAAAGACAGTGGAAATAGGGGAGTGAATCTTTAATCTTTTTAGAAGAGTCACAATCACTAAAGGAATTTTATTAAAATTTAAAATTCCATTGTTTCAATTCAGCAATCATTAAAATATTGGTGTGTTATACTGGTCTTCTCATCTCAACTGTTAGATTGCATGATGAAATAGCTATTTTGTGACTTAAAGACAGTGAGCATTGTCAATTTCAAAGAGTTTATTAGCCTACAAGTGTGATCTTTGAGAGAACATAGTAGTACATTCTACACTTCCAGGTTTCCTCAGCTCTTGATATACTTCCGTTTGCTTCTTTGGCAAATATTCACTGAAGAGGTATTGTGGAACAGGAGCCCCCCCCCCCTTTTTTTGTAAGATTTATTTTTATTATCTTTTTATTGGAAAGGCGGATATACAGAGAGGAGAGACAGAGAGAGACAGATCTTCCATCCGATGATTCACTCCCCAAGTGAGCACAACGGCCAATCCTATGCCGATACGGAGCCTGGAGCCTCTTCTGGGTCTCCCATGCAGGTGCGGGGTCCCAAAGTTTTGGGCCGTCCTCGACTGCTTTCCCAGGCCACAGGCAGGGAGCTGGAAGAGAAGCGGGGCTGCCGGGATAGAACCGGCGCCCATATGGGATCCCGGGCGTGCAAGGCGAGGACCTTAACCACTGCGCCACCGCGCCGGGCCCAACAGGAGCCCTTTTAAAATAAAATAGTACAATTACATTGGTCCTTAAAAAAGTTCATGGAAAATGGAACTGAAAGAGGGTGCAAAATAAGGATTTTCAGATATTTCATGGAAAATCTGTGTTATGGGAAACTATATATGAATTTCAAAACTTTTTATGACGCTAAAATATTTTCATTTTATTTTCATGAACTTTTTTTAAGTACTAATATTATGTTAGAGATCAAGAAAGTAAGACTAAAAAAGGTATCAATTTTACTTCTTGATGCTCGGAATGATACCACAACATTATGAAGAAAAAGTCTTGAATATATTTTGGATAGTTTGGCTACCGGTAAAAGAAACTGGTTTGATGCATTCTATCTTACAGGAACAGTTCTTAGCAATTAACATTGGCTAAAGGGAACAGTCATGATTCTCAGATTCTGAAGTCTGCAGGGGTGTGCTTTCTTGTTCATTGAAGCAGCAACGTTTTAGGGAAAAGACATTTTTGAATGGCTAATGTGAAGAAGAAAACCATAATCCAAGGGAAGATAGTAACAATAATACCAGGATGTATACATGGTCTCAATCTCCAGTGTTATACCAAAATACATCATCTTGCTGTATTTGACATGCTTCATTCCTGTAAGAGGAAGCATGGTCCACTTGCAGATTTAGTTACTCTTTATAGAAAGGAGTCCTAGGTTATAGCTAGAAATAGACCAAGCGCAAAGTTTATTGGTCAGGATTCTTTATTTTTTTTAAGGCAAGGACTTTATTCTTTTTTATCTATTTGAAAAGCAGAGAGGAGAAAACCGGAGAGCTTTCATCCACTAACTAAGCCCCCAGATACCCACAGCCATGGGCAAAACAGAGCAGGGACTCCCAGGTACTCCACAATAGGGGATTTGGGTGGCTCAACTGGTATCAGTTTGACTGCTAGAAAATGCCCACTCCAGAAGTCATGCTTTTTAATTAGGTTTTATACACTAGAAAATTGCTTTTTTCCTGGCCTCTCTCTGCCATTTTCATTATAAAGTCATACTATACAGCGTTTGATTTAATATTTGTAACAGTTTATAGTTAAATCTACCAAACCCCAAAATGATGCAGTCTAACATACTTGTTACAAATGAGGAATCATGACAACTTTAAGTTCTTTTAGAATTAGTATGTGAAGTATTTGACTTCTACCTGAATCAACCCTGTGCTGCTTACTTGGGAAGTGAACAAGCTGACAGGGAACTTCTTTGTGTAACTCTGATTTTTTAAAAATGATTTCTTTATTGGGGCTTGTGTATGGAAAGATTTTTCTCCCTCTCTCTTACCCTTTCAAATAAATAAATAAATACATCTCCTGATTCACTTTCTAGGTGGCTCCAGGAACCTAGGCTGGACCTGGTCAAAGCCAGAAGCCCAGAGCTTATTTGGGGTCTCCCATATGGTTGTAGGGTACCAAGCATTTGGGCCATCTTCAGCTTTCCCAGTTATATTAGCAAGGAGCTGGATCAGAAGTGGCTTAGCTAGGTCTTGAACTAGTGCCAATATGAGATGCTGGCATTGCAGGCGACTGCTTTATCCATTGTACCACAATGCTGGCCCCTGACTTCCAAATAAATAAATAAATCTTCTAAACACCAAGACATGAAGTGAATCAAGACCTGGATATCCAGTGCATTATGATGTCTAATGTGCTGTTCGTTCTTTTAGTGGAGAATACTTGGTTCTCTGTGCCCTCCAGCGAGTGGCATGAAGCCTGAAGAGTGCCCTTGCCTTGGTGCTTGGAGTGAAGCAGACATGGCCACGTGTTGTTTGGCGATGTTTGGAAGTTGTGCCCAGCTTTGACAACCACTGGGCATTGGTCATCTGCTGACCCTGAGATGCTGTCACAGATTTACCAGCTGCCACACACCAGCATTGAGCATCAGTTAAAGCTCTCAACTAAGAGCCGTGTGATACATGACCTCAGCAGTGGTTTTTTTAATCTGTTTTTCTTGATAGAAACATGAGCTCAGCTGGCTCTGATGGGAGGAAAGTGATGAGAAAGTGTGATGGGCTCATCGACTCCCTGGTCCACTATGTCAGAGGAACCATTGCGGATTACCAGCCAGATGACAAGGTAATTCTAGGTTAAATATCTCACATGTTGAGTTGTCTCTCTTTGTCCTAGCAGGACATTTCAGAGTATTTCTAAAGTAGCTGCTTAGGTTTGGATTTATTCAGACTCACTTGCCAATCCTAAAATTTCCCGTCCAGCTCCAGGAAAACTGAAATTTATCCAGCCTCATTATTTTAGGTTTTTTTTTTTTTAAGCCCAACAAACCTGTGCAACTTTTCTATGAGAAAATTGAAAAGTAACCCATATGCTCTGTGTTACACCATGAGCTTGAATTTGTCTCTTCCTTCATCTCCTCAAACTTGCTTACTCTGTGTAATCTTTACTCATGGCCATCATCCCACAAAAAGAAGATAAAAATGTGAGTACATCTCTCCCTCCCTTCTGACCTCCGCTGACAGCAGGTCACACATACCCTGGCTCAGAAAAGTTCTGTGCTATAACTTTTGTCCTCATTTTTGCCTCTTCTCTACTGAGTAGATTGCAGTAGCCTCCCCAGTGGTCCCTGTTGACATTATCTCCTCCGATTCTCCAACTCAGCATTGCTACAAGTAAGTTTTGTGTCCAAACTACAACTAGAAATTCAGCCTGAACTTTTGAGCATTGTCCTCCTGACCGCTCATCGGGGAACCTTAGCCTTTCAAGCTGTCATCTTCCACTTCCCCCAGAACCCCACGGCCAGAGCACGTCCAGTTGCAGCCATCACATCTGTCCAGGCCACTGCCGCGATGCTCTGCTTGCACAGGAGAATCTCATTGTATGTGCTTAGTATTCGTGTCCTGTTTTCTCAGGCCACAGAGAACTGCGTGTGCATTCTTCATAACCTCTCCTACCAGCTGGAGGCAGAGCTTCCAGAGAGATACTCCCAGAACGTCTATATTCAAAACCGAAATATCCAGACTGACAACAACAGGAGTGTTGGGTGTTTTGGCAGCCGAAGCAGGAAAGTAAAAGAGGTATATCGGGAGACAGAGAAAGCGTGTGTATGTGTGTGTGTGTGTGTAAGTGTGTATACTGCATGAGTATATGTGCATGCATTTCTGAGTATTTAGTGGGTGGGCATTGTTTTAAGTTCTTTGGGTCTTTACATCAACCCTTTGAGTTGTATATTATTAACACCACCATGTACCCATGAGGAAATGAGTACTGAAAGGTTAATTAAGTTTCCTATAACGTTCCAGCAAATAACTGGAAGGGGTGGCATCCAGTCCCAGGCAATCTGGCTGCATGATTGCATTGTTAGCTATTAAAATCTATTTGTCCTTCAGGTTAGAAAATAAGCTTAATGCAACATGGCCAATAGTACATGCATTGTTTTAATGCCCAAAGCAGCTTAATGGTTGATTTTGAGCATTCTAAAAGCAAATGTCAGACACGCTGAAGGCAAACCTCATTACAGGGAAGAATACATATTTGGGATTTGAAAGAATGTGACCCTTTACTCCTCTGAATATCATATTTGTGAACTTGGAGAACAGCTGGTAAATTTAGAAGTCTGATGCTATCCTGGACAACCTGTCCAGGACAGGGCTGTTTTCTTATCTTCGGAGTGGTTGAGACTGATTTAGCATTTAGCTTAGAAGCAGCCTGAAAGCCATTCTAGAACTATCTGTGCTTAGTCCTCAGAATTCTCACATGTTATGAAATGAACAGTTCAACGTAGGATGATGTTAGAAATAGTCATGATGGGCTGAAAGCTAAGGAGCTTGTTAAGTTTCTTCTTCAAGGACTTTGGGGACAAATTATTAGTCTTTTCAGATCACGTTTTGGTCTCTTGGTTTGAGTGTGGATTGTAGACCCTCCTTGAAGTATATTAATCGCGGATTCTCTTGTGTGTGGTTAGCACTACCAGGACATGCCGATGCCAGAGGAGAAGAGCAACCCCAAGGGTGTGGAGTGGCTGTGGCACTCCATCGTGATTAGGATGTATCTGTCCTTGATTGCCAAGAGTGTCCGAAACTTCACGCAGGAAGCCTCTCTGGGAGCTCTCCAGAACCTCACAGCAGGAAGTGGACCAGTGAGTAATTACGCCCCTTCTTCTACCTAAAAAAAACCCCACAGTACACACACACACACACACACTCCTGTTAGGTTCAGGAGTGAAGCATAAGCATGAACCAACAGCAAGAGCTTTCTCACTTCCCAGGACAGTTCTTAGCAATTGCCAGAGAATGTTCCAGCTCTCCAAGGCCTTCAGCTTTGCCTCTAAGCAAGCCAAGCCTTACCGTAGACACAAGACTTGGCGATACCTGTGCTGTTCAGCATCACTCAGTGCACGTTTCAGAATCTCACTCCAGCGGTCCAGGTGGATCAGGGTGTCTGTCACAACTAGACTTCAGTGCCCTGGGCGTTACAATCATGTTGCATCTTCATTTGTTCTGTTGATTTCGTTCCCAAACAGCAGTGCCCATATAGTAACAAAGACAACCAGGAATTATTTGAGGCTGGTATTCTGCTAGCCCACCATCCCCACAAGGAAAAACAAGACGATGTTCCCAACTGCAGTGTAAGCAACTCGGAGAATGTGTCTGCTCTGGCTCGCTGGTCCGTTCGGAACCATGGCCGGTGGCGAAGAGGCTGTGGTGTCCTCACTGACCAGATCCGGGCCACACACCCGCCTGTGAACCTCAGGAGCCTGCATCTTAGCAGCGCACGGTCCCTCTCATGTACCCTACATGCACTGAAAAGGCAAAAGAATGGCTTCCTAATGGAAAAATCGGAGTGGAGTTAGGAAAAGAAGGAGGAATAAATGCTAGGCAGGCAAAAACAACAGATGCCTGCTGGCAGTGCGGGGTTGGGAGGGACATCTGTGCCTTTTGTGTCCTAGAAATCTAATTACAAAATAAAAAGCTGATTCTCTTTCCAGATGTAGTCACCTCATAGCAGTAAAGTAAAATATACAATGTACTGAAAGCTTATTTCTCCTCCTATGCACTTTACACATATTCAGGAATTCTCTAAATATTTAATTCGTTTAACTAAGCTTATATTCTTTGCTTTGATCATAAAATGATTTGAGTGCACTCCTAAATAGTTCATTATGAAGCCAGTTGCCAATTATCTGTCATCACAGAGAAGAGCAGGCCTGAAGCAAACAAGATGCTTAGTTATTCTCCCGCTCAGAAGCAGTGCTCTGATAACTGTGTCCACACAGAAGCTTGTCCTTGGTCTCTGACACACTGAGCATGTGATTAAGACTATGTCCAGATCTTCATCTCTCTGTGTTTCTGCAAAACACGCTTGTGCACGAACAGAAATACCTGCCTTGCTCTCTCTGTAACTGTCAAGAAGGACAATGGGGGCAGGAATTTCTCATTCTGGGAAAAATTCTTTTTAAGTTTTGTCCCAAAAGGGGCCAGAGCATTGACACCATAGCGACCTCAGTCTTGAGCTGAGAGAGCTCAGCCTGGCTGGGACGTGGGCAGTCCATAGCCCCTGGGATGATGATATGAAGATCTTCATTCTTCTAAATTATGAGATGCTTTTCACTAAAATTGTCCTACATTACAACCGTTATGATCATTGTTTTTTCTTATTTTTATTCTTACATAGTGTGATAGAGTCCATCATTTTTGTAATTTCTGAAAGGAACCATTGACTAGAAAAACATGAAAAATAGTAAAATAAAAATAAAATACTAAAATATGTTCCATGGAACATAGTTCCAGGAAATATTTTATCCGTCAATAATGTGACCATAGCTATGACAGTGCTAAGCATTTGATGACTGTGCTTTAAATGGTAAAGAAACTGAAATAGCTTTCCAAAAAGCAGGTTATATAATTTAAGTATTCGATTTGATAACAGTAATTTCTAGAAATCCTACAATTTTAATTTAAGCTTTATAACTCAGATATATAAAGCCAATGTAATTACAAGAAAAAAGGAGGCATGAATAATGTTTACCTACCTAGCAAACTCTTTAAGTCTAATATTAGTAAAACATTAAATTCTTTTTTTTTTTTTTTAAAGATTTATTTTTATTATTTTTTCATTGGAAAGGCGGATATACAGAGAGGAGAGACAGAGAGGAAGATCTTCCGTCCGATGATTCACTCCCCAAGTGAGCGCAACGGGCCGATACTATGCCGATCCGAAGCGAGGAGACTCTTCCAGGTCTCCCACGTGGATGCAGGTTCCCAAAGCCTTGGGCTGTCCTCGACTGCTTTCCCAGGCCACAGGCAGGGAGCTGGAAGGGAAGCGGGGCTGCCGGGATTAGAACCGACGCCCATATGGGATCCCGGGCGTGCAAGGCGAGGACCTTTAACCACTTGCGCCACCGCGCCGGGCCCTAAAACATTAAATTCTTTAGGGAACAGCAGCATGATGGTGGCTCAGTAAGATCCTCCACCATTTCTCTCCCTCTGGCGGCAGCAATTTGAACAGGTATTCAAATACCACCTTGCAAGAACTGTGGAAGCAAGGTAGGAGGCCACAGTGGCAGGTTTTAAGCCCAAGCCAAGAAAACAGGCTAGAAAGCGTTGTTTGGATTATCCCTCGTCCAGCTCCAAGCACTCCTCCCACCTGGGGCAGAAAAAACAACCTTAACACAGACCGACCATGGTGAGATCCAGTGCTGGGCAGAGCCCCAGTCCAGCCCAGTCCCCAGAGCTTCTGGAACTAGCCAGGCTACCTGAGTGAGTCAGCCTCCAGGGTCCCATCCACCCCAACCTGGGGAAGCAGCAATGTCTGAGTAGCTTGGTGTGCAAGGCCCCCATGAAGCAACTAGAAAGGCCTGCTCACACCTCTGGGGCCTCATGTTAATGTTAATGTGCTCGTCTGGAATCACAGTCAGTGCAGCTGGCCCCCCATGTCCTGTGACACAGCACAGCAGAAAGGCTCGGGCCGCCAAAGTCGCTCTGTGCACTTGGTAGAAGCAGCTTCTCCTTTCTCCCATCCCCACCTCCACATGCACAAAAATCAACACAGGGGTGTGAGATACCTGCAAAAAAGAGAAACAGGCAATATGACACCTCCAAAGGAACATAGCAATAATCTAGCAACAGAACAAAAAGAAATAAATATCTATAAAGTGCCTGACAACAAATTCTAAAGAATAGTTTCAGCAAACTTAACAAGGTAGTAGAGAATATAGACAATTCAATTCAATGACATTGGGAAGACAGTTCATGATGTGAAAGGCAAATCAGCAGAGAAACAAAAATCATTTAAACAGAACCAATAGCAGATACAGGAGCTAATTAATTCACTACATCAAGTAAAAATGCATTTGAGAGCCTCAGCAACTTAGCAGACAGACTTTCTAGCCTTAAAAACCAGACTTTTGATATAACTTAAACAAAAAAAGAAAGACTGTGATTGAGGGGGGAAGAGAAAGGAGCAAGAAAGGAAGGAAAGATGGAATTTAAAAGGAACAAAAGCAATAAGGCCAAAAAAAAAAAAAGCAGGGGGCAAAAGAGCATCCCAGTAAGAAAAGAGGAAGTCAGTTGATCTGTTTGTGAAAACGTAATTTTGAACATGGAAGAACCTAAGCGGCCCTGCTAAAGTCCTCACCTTGAACGTGCCAGGATCCCATATGGGCACCGGTTCTAATCCTGGCAGCTCCACTTCCCATCCAGCTCCCTGCCTGTGGCCTGGGAAAGCAGTCGAGGATGGCCCAAAGCTTTGGGACCCTGCACCCGTGTGGGAGACCCGGTAGAGGCTCCTGGTTCCCGGCTTCAGATCAGCTCAGATCTAGCTGTTGGGGCCACTTGGGGAGTGAACCCGCAGGTAGAAGATCTTTCTCTCTGGCAATCTGACTTTCCAAGAAAAAGAAATAATTGTTTTTTTAAAAAAACAAAGATTAAGAAAAATTAACAAATTAACTAACAAGCTTCTATACAGCAAAAGTAATAATAGAGCAAAGAGACAACCCACAAATGAGCAACTAAAAAAAAAAAAAGACTATATGATATCCCATTTTTTAGGGCTGTTTACATATATATGTAAAGCACTTTAATATTAACATAAAACTTATTCAAAACATGTGACTCAGTGAAATATGGACATTCAAGTGATGTTTACTCAGCTTAGGGAAAGTTCAGAGCAAATTCATTTATTCTCATTCATTGAGGACAGTGGGAAAATCTGCACCTGGGTGGGCTTTAAACCTTGCTCATGAGGCTGGCACGGTGGAGTCAGACTAAGCATGTGCCTGCAGCACTGGCATCCCATATGGGCGCCATTCCCAGTCCTCATTGCTCAGCTTCTGCTCCAATATTCTGCCTGTGACCTGGGAAACAGTGGAAGATGGCTCCAGTGCTTGGACCCCTGCACCTACCTGGGACACCTGGAAGAAGATCCTAGTTCCCAGCTTTGGACCAGCTCAGCTCTGGCCTCAGTAAATAAATAAATATTTTTAAACAAAATAAACTTGCTCCATAAGGAAAATAAATAGAATTACCACCTAGAACTCCCATATGCCAGCATTTGAAAATGTGCGAGAGTGACTGTTCTGTCGTTGTGTATCAAAGGGCCTGATTCCATGCCGTCCCTGCTCAGCTTCTGCTAACGCACAACAGGTGACGGCTCCGGCGACGGGCCCTGACGCATGTGTGGGAGACGCACCCTGAGCCCGCCCCCTGCTCCTGCAGGCATGTGGGGAGTGGACAGGGAATGCGACACCACCCCTCACTCTCCAACTCAATTACATACGTTAAAAAGCTCCATTATGAAAGTTAGAATGGAAAAGTATAAGGAAGAGGAAATGGGGAGTGGGGCTGGGAGATAAGCAGCTTTTAGATGAGATAAATAGAGAAGATAAATATCCCAAACAGTGCTAAAAAGAGTAATAGAAGTTTTATGAAGGGCTTTACTATTATAACAATAGGGGGAAAATCAGTTGGGGGTAGGAATTGGGGTAGAGGGAATTCCAGACCCTGTGGAATTGTACCATAAAATTCAAAATAAAGAAAAAAGAAAAAAAAGTGTAGAAATGTTTGGCGTGGTGACCTCTAACTAGCTTCAAGTAGAAATGTAATATGAAATATCTACTACAAAAGCAGAGGCATGGGCCTCGGTGCTGTTGTTGGAGAACCAGCATTGTGAGGCAGGGCCTGGTCAGCATTCGGGCGCCCTGAAAACAGGTGCTCAGCTGAACTCCAATCAGATCGGCTTCTGGAAGACCAGACTTGTGACTTGCCATTTGGTCCCTGGTAAGGATATAGGTAGTCGAATCAGCGACATTCCTGCCTTTAAAAGCCTCCCATCTCTTTCAGAAACAACTGGGTTTTGTTTACAAATACATAAGTTTGCCAAATTATGTAAAATGCCAAAACTTGAATAGCAAGACAAAAAAAAGATGACTTTCAACCAGCCATCATTGGTGAATACAGTGAAATGGCCATCAAAGCCCTTATATTTCTTTTCTCAGGCTTTGTGGCCTTCCGGGTAAATGCAGCTTCTATAGAGGGAGTGGCTCATGGCAGGCCATTTTACCGAATTCTACCACACCTACAAAGATGAGATTATTCTATATTATACAAATAGATGGAGATAGAAAGTACTATGCAAACAATTTTAATTCAAATAATTCTAATTCTACAACTGATATAGGTAGTAAAGAAAATGTGTTTAGAATGGTTTAATCTTTAAAATGTCTTCTCCACATTCGAGTGACCTGCAGGAAGCTGGCTGCTCCCTTGCGCTGTAGCACTCACCGGGCACATCTCTCAACAGATGCCAACGTCAGTAGCTCAGACGGTGGTCCAGAAGGAAAACGGCCTCCAGCACACTCGCAAGATGCTGCACGTTGGCGACCCAAGTGTCAGAAAGACTGCGGTCTCACTGCTGAGAAACCTGTCTCGGATTCCTTCTCTGCAGAATGAGATTGGTGAGTCAGTCGTGTGTGTGCGCTCTCTTGGTTTCTTTAGACATGGCGTAGCAGGCTATTCCCACGTGGGTGCTGCTTGGTGTCTTGGCTGCTCTGCTTCCGATCCAACTCCCTGGATATGGCCTGGGCAAACGCAGAGGATGAGCCACGTGCTTAGACCCCTGCACCCACACGGAAGACCCGGAGGAGGCTCCTAGATCAGCTCAGCTCAAGCCATGGTGGCCATTTGGGGAGTGAACCAGCAGATGAAAGAGTTCTCTCTCTCACTCTCTCTGTGTCTCTCCTTCTCTCTGTAACTCTGCCTTCAAATAAAAATAAAATAAACCTTTAAGAAAGAAGAAACCGAAAGCCCAAATGCAGTGCGTTGTCTGCATGACAGTCTATACAGCAATGACCAGGAAATGGAAATCTGGAGCAGAAGGTGATGAATAGACCCGACTTTCTCACTGCGTCTCAAATTGGACTTCTCTTCACATCCATTTTTTTATTTGTTTAAATACTACCAAAGGAATGGTGGGCCATACTAATAATGTACAGGAGAAGTGATATGCTTGACATTTTTTTCATTCATCTTCCAGTGTCCTGTGATGTCTTTCTCCATGTGGTGCTTTCACAGCTTTTCACAATGTAGACCTCACGAAAACCACTCTTCTAGAACATTAAGAAAAAAAAAAAGAGGCACAGCAGGTGTTTGCCTGAGAAGCTTGTCAGTGTTTTGTACTAGGGATTACAGACAATCCCAAGACAAAGGCCAAAAGGAGTCTCCGAAATGCAACAGGTTTAGCGTGGGTGCTGGAAATGACATCAGAGTCACGTGGTGCTGTAACGGAGCATGCTCCTAATCCCTCATCGACACACCGCTTCTCGCAATCTTCTTTCAGTTCTCCACAAAATTCCACTGCAGTTACAGGCAAATGCTTGTTGCAGTACATCTGGTTTGCTGTTTGTTCACCCTCACACACAAACATAACACAAAGGGCATTGAAGTCTGCAGTCAGGTTTTGCAAGAGAGATTTTCTTTATCTCTAAGATTTTACTGATTTATCTGAAAGAGCGATGTCTGTTGACTGATGTCTCCAAGCGGCCCATGGCCAGGACTGGGCCAGGCTGCCGGGGAGCTCCGTCTGGCTCTCCCACATGGCTGGCAGGGCCCAAGCAATGAAGTCTCTGTTTCTCTTCCTCTGCTTTTCCCAGGCGGTGAAGTTGGAGCTGGATTGGAAGTGCAGCAGCTAGGCTACAGATGGTGGCTCTTACCTGCAGTGCCACAGTGACAGCCCCTAAAGTCAGTTCATGTGACAGGAAGTTTCATACGATGGTCGCGTGACCCTTAGAAAGAGAGCCTAGAACTTTTCAGTGAAGCTAAAGGAACCTTGCCCTAGGCCCTCGGGATTGTGGATGTGTTCTCACCATGACCTTGTTTGTGGGCTTTTTTACCAGGCTTCAATAGAGGTATATTCTACTTTCAAGTTTTTTGTTTTGTTTTGTTTTTCTCAAGTAATCTGTCAACGCCATCTGCAAAACACTGCCGAGGTAAACGTTGCTCTGCTCACTGACGCGTACCCCAGGGCGGAAACGCTGCTGGACACAGACCCTGCAGTCTCTGGACTGGTGGGAGGGTATGGTGAAAGCCCTGAGGATTCTGTAAGATGGCCCCATGGGTAAATCTCAAGGACAGCAGTGAGGACACCGCATTATGGCATAGTGGGTAAAGCCGCCATCCGTAGCACCTACATCCCATATGGACACTGGTTTGTGTTCAGCTGCCCCGTTTCCGACTCAGCTCCCTGCTGATGGTCTGGGAAACAGCAGAAGATAAAGCTCCCACGAAGTGGGGGATGGAACAATGGCTAAAAGATCTCTCTGTGTATGTCTCTCCCTCTCACTACACCTCGATCTTTCAAATAAATAAATCTTTAAAACTAAGGTGCCTCAGCAGAAAGATACCTCAGCCTCATAAATGCAGTTTTAAAATTCCAAATTGAATTTGGCACTGTAGTACTGCAGGTTAAGCCACTGTGTGGGATGCCAGCATCCAGCATCCTAGTGCCTGGGATCAGGTATACCTCCACTTCCGATGCAGCTTTGTTCTAACGCACATCCTGGGCGGCAGCAGGTGGGGACCCTGCCGCCCGAGGGGGGGTCCAGATGGCCTTCCCAGCATGCCCTGGTCCAGCCACTTGGAGCATTTAGAGGTGAACCAGTGGAAGGGAAACTGATTTCTCTCCCCCTCCTCTCCTTCTCTCTCTCTCTCCATTTCTTTGTCTTTCAAAGAATACAAATATACACAGAAGCTTTTTCATTCTAAATTGGCTTCATATTGGATACAGAATTTAAGGAATAGGACCCATCTTGAGCCAGAGTTTTAATAGCCATAAATATAATCAGCTTGCATATGGGTGCACACTTGTGTTTCTCAGGAAAAATTTCTATGCTAGAGATCTTTGCATGTACTGACTTGGATGAAGTCATCATGTTTTGCTTCAATGTATACCAATAAAGAAAGGCAACATAGTCCGAGGACTAACCTATGTCATAGAGGAGAAATGGCTTTGCATCCAACACACAGAATCCTGGCTGGTCACTGAACCGCTCTAGGCCGAGTGGAATCAAAGACCACCGCCTAGCAGGGTTCCCCAGGCTTCACCTGAAATAATGTATGTGGGAGTACTAGTCTCTAGAATCCCCGTTCACATTTATGCTAACATGCTCAGAGAGCTAAATAGGCCTTAGCTTGTTAAGCTTACACATGAAATAAAATCTCCTTCAGTGATACAACATTGAACTGTAACCTTCCAGTGCAGTGTCATATAGCAACTTTAATTTTATATCGCACTATTAAGTCTTATTCAGGAGTTGAGCATCTGAGCCGGTGGCTGGAATGCAGTTTAGGACCACGAATTCCATGTTGGAATACTTCAGTTTGAGTTCCAGCTGTGCTGCTCATATCAGCTTATTGCTAACTAAACAGTAGTTGATAACTCAAATATTTGGGTCCCCGCCACCAGCATGGGAGATCTGAAGTAGAAGTCGAGATAATTTTTTATGATTCTTTTCAGGTCACCATTAATATTGTTAAAGAAAAACAGATCCTATTAGCATTTAATGTATTTTTTCTTAGGTTTCTTGTACCCATTTTTACATAATATATTACTAGCTTGATTTTTCACACAGTGTTAACATAAACATTTTCTTGTTATATATGCTTCATGAATTTGTTTAGGGAAGCATAAAATTATTCGTAGTTATTTTCTGTTCTTTTCTGTTCTTTAATTCTTTTTATTGAGATATTGAGGACTTTACAATTTTTTATGCATGTGTGAGTATCATGCTTAAAGATCTGTGCAGTAAGCTTTCTCTATTTTAAAGTCATTCTGTAGTCTACTCCCAGTAGGATTACTGAATTCAAGAACATGAAAATGTTTTACATGCTTGACACTTATGTCACATTGTTTAGTTCTGAAAAGATTTTTAATATACTAAGCATAGAGCATCCCTTTTAAAAGAACATTTTTTTTTTTATTTTGGTGTGAGAGATTACATCTTCTCATATGTCTGTTAATTCTGTTTCTTTTCAAAAACTTCCTTTGCCCAACGTGTCCTGGGATCTTGGGATTAGAAAAAAAAAATCTTCTTAATCAAATGTTTTTCTCTCCCCTTCTCTCTTTTTCATTTTGTAGCCAAAGAAACCCTGCCGGATTTGGTTTCCATAATTCCTGACACGGTCCCCAGTACTGAGCTGCTCACTGAGACTACAGCCTCTGCCTGTTACACGCTGAACAATATTGTCCAGAACAGCTACCAGAACGCACGAGACCTGCTGAACACGGGGGGCCTGCAGAAGGTTATGGCCATCAGCGCGGGCGACGCGTAAGTCCCTTAGCCTCTGTGCCAGCCACCGCTCCTGTGATTAAATAACCTAGCTGTGAGTACCATGGGCAGCGTGGTCACAGACCAGATCCTGAAGCAGAGTGGGCCAGCCACATGGTTGAGTCCTTAGTGTTCAAGAGAATGAGACAGCGCCGTCACACAGTCACCCATTCTCTTCTCAGTAGCATCGTTAGCAGTGAATGTTGAGCACTGTGATTAGTCTGCACGGACATCGCAACCCAAGTAGTTGGTTCAAATCCCAGCTCCACTCTGCTCCTGTCTACACACCCTGGGAGGTGACCAGTGAGGGCACAGGTACTTAGATCTTCTGCACCTCTGTGGATTGAGAGCCCACTTTGGCCTGCCCCTGCCACTGCAGATATTTGGGGAATAAACCCGTATCTGAGAAATGCCTCTCTCTTTCTCAAATACATTTTTAAATTAAGTTCATGGAAAAATGGCATTGAGAGATACATTTGTAAAGTATCAAGACAGAGTCAGACTCTACACATTGTCTTGGTGTGCATTTCAGCACGTGGTTGACCTAAGAGTTTATTTCCCAGAGCCATAGCCAGAGTTTCAGCACAGCAGAGTCCAGGCAGAGCTGTGGCCTGGACTCCTGTGGAGTCACAGCCAACACATGACAGCACCGGAGAGCAGTGGGAGTGGCCAGCAATGAATGCCCGGCTCTGTGTTGTCTCCACATCTCTCCCACCTCTTAGTCCTGAGACCAGGAGGTATAACATATGCAAGAGTCATCCCACCTCCCTGTCCCTGTGCACAAACGGTCTTCAAGTTCATGGAGGATTCATTTTATGAAAATATCATACATGAGTACAAAATTTTTTCCCACCAAATCTTATTTCTGTGTTTTCTGAGCTTCTTCAACTATCCTGTATAATCTGGTTATTAGAGTGATGGGATTGGAGGGAGCTGTGAAAGTTATCTTTTGCTCCTTAAATACTTCTAGATTGATCATCTTGTTACCAATATGTCACCTTGCAAAGAATCAGGAAACAACATCTATCATTGCCTACTTTCCATGCCAAGCAAACTGACTCTGCATGCAGTGGACAGACATGTCCTTTGCTGTGAAGGAGTGAGGAGGGGATCCGTGCTGTCCTGAGATGAACACACACCTGCAGCACTCCAGTCCCACCAGGGACCCCTCGTGGCTCTGCACATGGCCTCGCTGCAGAGCACCCACGGTCCCAGAGCCCAGACCTGAATGTTGATCCCTCAGAGTCAGGAGCTTTCAGCTGCTCCCACAGGCTGCTCAAATGAATGATTGCTTTGAAACAGAACTGACTCTGTCCCAGGGGCTCAACCTTCTAAGCAAATTGCTATAAGATAATATGGTTTTAATTACTTGAGTCCTCAGTCATAATTGTTGCCAATGAAATTAGACCATCACTTGAGGCCGCTTCTTGCAGCTTAGCAAGATGGGGGTGGTGTGCTGCTGAGCTGCTTGTGTATTTGCGTTCGCGTCGTCCCCACATGCTGTGTCAACAGGGTTCTCCCTGCTGCTCTTTCCTTACTAGGATTGAATTTGATTTGTGGTTTATGGGCTAACCTGGGAACCAATTATCATTTACAACAGGCTGTTGTTGATAAATGAGTTCCAAGTGCCAAACAACCAGCTTGTAAAGAAAAAAGTGAATATGACACCCTTAACAGTTTAAGAACTGTTTCCAATTCTGACTATTAGAGACCTTACAACCTTCATGGATCTATTTGCCACTTGTGTTTATTAGCAAGACATCCTGGAGCTACAGACATCTAAGAAGTCTTCATTAGACTTAGGCTCACTGAAAGACTAATACCAACAGAAAAGCTTTCAGATAATGAATGAACTCAGCATGAGTCTGTGCAGCTCTGCGTTCCTGGAGCTGGCTTATGTGTTTACAAACTCCTATGATGTGGAAAACACATTTAGGGCGCTAGTATTGTGGCAACAAGCTAAGCTGCTTCCTTCAGTGCTGGCATCCAATATTACAGTGCCAGTTTTAGTCCAGGTGCTCCACCTCCATTCCCTGCTAATGAGCCTGGGAAAGCAGAGGACAGCCAAGGTCTCCCTGCCACCCACATGGGAGAAGAAGTGGAGCTCCTGGTTTCCACCTGGCCGTTGTAGCCATTTGGGCATGAAGCAGTGGATAGAAGATTCCTCTTTCTCTGTTTCTCTCTCTTCTTTTTTTAAAGGTTTATTAAGGAGTCTTTATTAACCAAGCTTGGTGATAACAGGGACCACTAGAAATAGCAAATCACAAGTCCATATGGCAATCCAATCAATCATAATCTGACCATTTCTTTCTGTTTCTCTCTCTTTCTCTCTCTCTTCCTCTCCTGTCTGCCTTTAAAAACAAATAAAAGCAATTTTTAAAGAAAGATTATTTTTAAAAAGTTTTGCCTCCACATCAGCTAAGCAGCTCAGATGCCCACGTCTGGGCAAACTTGTGGTGCGGCAGTTGACACTGCTTGGAACCTTAGCATCCGCTGTCGCAGGCCTGAACTCAAGGCCTGACTGCCCTTCCGAGTGCAGCTCCCTGCCTTGTGCGGTCAGGAAGGTACCAGGCGACAGCTCAGGCACCGAATCCGCGCCCCGGTGTGAGACCTGGGTTGAAGGTCCGCGTTTCTGGCTGTGGCCCGGCCCAGCCCTGGCTGTTGAGGGCAGATGAGGAACAAAGCAGTGGGTGGGAGCTGTCTCTCTCCATGTCTCTGTCTCAGTCTCAGTGTCTATAATATAAAGTCATTTTTGTGGTGCATGTACTATTATCTGTAGTTAGCATAATTTTTACTATGCCTGTATTCAATGCATATTTTTAAAATTGTTTTTAGACTTAAGCATTTTTAACATTTTGTCATATTCATTTCATATGTAGCTATTACACATGAACACATACATACTATTTTTCTTTGAAACCAGGATATTAATAGCATGTATTCATGACACTAATCTTAACACAAGAAAAGAAGGGTATATCATGCTGGTGGTATAATCCAGTGAAAATAATATTAACTCTCTAAACACAAATAATATGCTATTCACATTTTCATAACCTCATATGTATTTATTTCCACATCTGAGAAAATGTAATATTTGTCTTTGTATTTCTAGCTTACTTTGCTTGTTGTAATGATTGCCAGTTCTGTCCATTTTTAATTTTTTTCTTGCAGATGTCAGAATTTAAATCCTTTTATATGGCAGAGTAATACTTCATCATGCATTTATCCATTTTCCTTATCTAAATAGTGCTTAAATGATAGTTTTCTTTCAAAAAGACCCATGCGAGCAGAGTGCTTGACCCCAGCGTCCTGCTCACACAGACCCTCGTGGGCAGGAGTCATGGTGGCCATGCGGCCAATTCCTGCCATCCTTGTAGGCGAGCTGCAGTGCTGACTTCTGGTTCCCAGCTGTGAGCAGAGCCAGTCGTGGCTCTGGTGAGCATCTGGGCTGTGACTCAGTGGGTGGGGTAACTGTGCTGGGTGTGCGTTTGCCTCTCCAGGAAGGGGATTTTTAAACAAAAATCAGCCATGCGCTAGTCAGTGAAAGAAATAACAAGAACTCTGAGGAGGCATTGGTATTTAATGAGAAGCAGGAAGTTCAGCACAAATTTAAAAGCAGAATGTCCAAAATATATGTCAGTGTCATTCACTTAGCGCTTGGCATGATCATTTTGCACATCAGCTTATTATATTGTTTTAAATTTTATATTAATGTAATAACTGCATATTGTTGTAGGGCACAGAGCAGTGTCCTACGTACAACCTAATCAATTGGCCAGCCTTTCCATATTTCTTTTTGTTGGAACCGGTCAGCTCTCCTCTTTGTTTCTTTCTACAATATGTCATGCATCATTATGAACTCTTAGCAACCCTACTAGCCTGTGGAACACTTGAACTTGTTACTTTTTTTTAAATTTTAAGATTTATTTTTTGTTGGAAAGTCAGATGACAGAGAGGAGGAGAGACAGAGAGGAAGATCTTAAATGCAATGATTTACTCCACAAGTAGCCACAATGGCTGGAGCTGAGCCAATCCAAAGCCAGGAGCCAGGAGTTTGTTCTGGGTCTCCCACATGGGTGAGGGACCCACGGCTTTGGGCCGTCCTCGACTGTATTCCCAGGCCACAAGCAGGAAGCTGGATGGGAAGCAGGGCTGCTGGGGTAAAAACCGGCACCCATATGGGATCCCAGTGTGTTCAAGGCAAGGACCCTAGCCACCAGGTTACCGCGCCAAGCCCGAACTTATTACTTCTCTGTGACTGTGTTTAGTGCCTGTTACCCATTACTACCTTTCCCAGCTCCCACTAAGCATCGTTCTAAGCTCAGATCGACTTCCACATGAGAGAGAACAATGATGTTTGTCTTCCTATGTGTGGTTTATGTCGTTAGGCATAGTGGTGTTCATTTCCTTCCGTTTTGCCGCAAATATCAGGGCTTCATTCTTTTTTAGAGCTGAATAATATCCCACTGTGTATGTGGACCATGTGTTCCTTCATCATTTACTCATTGGTAGACACCTAGTGTCATTTCCTGTGTTGACCATTGTTCAGGAACATTTTTTTCCATTGGCTCTGTACTAAAACTTTTATAGCTCTTTTGAAAGCTTTTTAACAATTGTTGCCGTAAGGATCTTTTTTATTAGCTTGAAAAATAATTTTATTCTAATATTCACAGTCACAAAGTTTAAAAGGCACATACATTTTCAGGTTTTCCCACATCTTATTCTATAAATCATGCTTCATTAATATATACATACAAATTGTTTTCTATAAACAAATTCAAAATTTGTAACATGTCTAAGGATGTACTCCTTGTAAAAAGGGATTTTCTGTCTAAACTGCCCTCGTAGTTTATAAGAATTCAAACAAAATGTGTTGCCTGCCTGTGAAGCTCGTCTTCCAGTGGTCTTGGCTGAGGAAGGGAACCCACTGGGCCGGGCACCTCGGGCACCTCCCACATTCGCACTGCTCCTGAAATGTCTTCTCTGTTTGCAGCTACGCCCCCAACAAGGCAAGCAAAGCTGCCAGTGTCCTGCTGTATTCCCTGTGGGCACACACTGAGCTCCACAATGCCTACAAAAAGGTAAGGACAGCAGGGGTGTCACGGCCCAGTCAGACGGCTGAGAGTGAGACAGCACTCAACAGCAGCCTGCTTCTCCTCTCAGGAGTTTGTTGCCTTTCACGTTTCTGTTTGCTTATTCCAAAGGCTCAATTCAAGAAGACAGATTTTGTCAACAGCCGGACTGCCAAAGCCTACCACTCTCTGAAGGACTGAGGGACGGGAGAAGGGCTCTCCGAAACCCCCACCTCCCCATTCTCAGCTACAAGAAAGCCCCGAAGGAAAACACCTATTTTTCTACTGCCCGATCCAAGAAAGCCTGGGCAGCATGCCTTGTTTCTAACCTTTTCTATGCCCATGTTCTCCAGAATCCAGAAAATAAATAATGAGAACACTGTTTTTCAGTCTTCTGGAAGATTCTTGCAAGTTTGCCGCCAGTGGATCCTGGCAGCAGGCAGTGTTTCCCTCTGCACATGCTAGCCCATTAGCGAGCCTGGGGTGCACGGCCCCCAGAACCAAGCTGCGAGTGCCTGGAGAATAGACGCTGACACTACTGCTCAGGAAGACGCTTTCTGTAGCTAGGGTTCCGCAAGTCTGATGGACGCTTGTGTTCTTTTGCGGGTTTCCTTGCTTTCACACATGCGCGTTGCTTTTCCACTGAGCCCACAGTGTTTTGTTCTGCAGTGAAACAGAAGGGAAACGCCAAGAAATGTACCGAGTTCTCCAGGAGACAGTATAACAGCAAAATTGTTGGTTTCTTGTGTTGATCCCTTTGGGGTTTTCCCTGATTTCAATTGAAAACCTTAGGAACTTAGGCTTCAGAGCATGAATGATTGTGGGAAGACACAGTTGAAAGAAAATGCTTATAGCAGATTTAAGAATTTTTTTTTTTTCCCACAGAGAAAAGCAACTATGGCTATAAATGCGATGTTGTCCCTAAGCAATGAATAAATGATACTTCTGTTCAGGGAAATTAATGCAAATATCTTCCATTCAGTGTAACCTATTGCCTAGGCTGTTTCAGGCCAGGAAAAACTGGACTGTACTCTTTAGCCCCAGAAAGAACCAAACCCTTGGGTCAGACTGATGGGCCGGCCCAGGAAACAGAAAACTCAACTTAGTGACAGCCTCAACCAGCCCACACTGCGCGACATTTTACAAGGTACTACGCAGAGCCTGTGTCTCGTGTGTCTCAAGCCATTGCTTCAAGTGGAGGCATCTCTAGAGTCTCTGGGAAGAGCAGAGGTAAAGTCATGACTGAGAAGAAGGAGGAGACCACAAGGCCGTCTGCAACTGGGAGAGACCACGGTCCAGCCAGGTGGATCTGTGTCCAGTGTTAGTTTGGCTGGGCTGTGATGAAAGCTGTTCACATAGAGACAGTCTCACTTCGATTGTGTTGTTTTGCTTTCTAAAACAAAGACATTTGTCCTAAGGAAATAAGAAAATCCTTCAGCCATTTGACCAGAAAAGTATAATAAAAAGTAAATTGCCATTTCCCAAGTAAATGTCTACTAAGTCTTTATTACGTTCGTAACTTGTTTTTTTCAATTTTAAACGCTTAATGAAGGCAGCGTAGGTTAATCATCTATGACAAAAATGAGTTAAAAAGAGTTTAATTCTTTTTGTAGAATTGTAGTGATAATGTGGGTTTTTGTTTGTTGTAAGCGTTAGTAGAGTTGCCAATACTTACAAAGACAAGAATGGGTGTGGCACACAAAGTGAAGCTGCCGGTGGTGCTTGCTTCCCATTTCGGAGCATCAGTTCAAACCTCAGCTACTCTGCTTCTGACCTCTCTGCTCGGGCACATGGGAGGAATCCGTGATGGCCCAGCATCTGGGCGCCTTCCACCCTCACGGAGACCTCGATGGAGCACCACATCCTGACTTCCGCTTAGCTCGGCTGTGCACAAACAGGCAGTGAACCCACAGAAAGAAGATATCTGCTTCTCTCCTTTCAAGTAGATGAAAACAAACACGTAAAACTATTCAACACGAAACAAGGCTGGAGTTCCTCTGCCTGCATGGATTTGTTTATATCAGTCTGTGTGAAGTGATTCACATGACATTTCAGGATTGGACTTTGTAAACTTCAGTTTCTAAAGGTCTAATACTTTGTAATTCTTTTTAAAAATTTATTATTATTATTATTATTATTATTATTATTTTAATTGAAAAGGCGGATATACAGAGAGGAGAGACAGAGAGGAAGATCTTCCATCCGATGATTCACTCCCCAAGTGAGCCGCAACGGCCGATGCTATGCCGATCCGAAGCCAGGAGCCTCTTCCGGCTCTCCCACACGGGTGCAGGGTCCCAAAGCTTTGGGCCGTCCTCGACTGCTTTCCCGGGCCACAGGCAGGGAGCTGGAAGGGAAGAGGGGCTGCCAGGATAGAACCGGCGCCCATATGGGATCCCGGGCGTGCAAGGCGAGGACTTAACCACTGCGCCACCGCGCCGGGCCCTGTAATTCTTGTATTGTTTCCCTAGAATCCTAAATTCTTTACCAAAAACCATTTTCTGTAAGAAAGGTGGCGCTAGCTGAAGACGAAAGTGCATAAAAAGGGAGGGCCAGACAAATGCCAGCTGCTCTGAGATTCCCGTGTGTGGACCTGATGCCTGCGGCCTGCATGTCCCCTCTGCTCTGCCTCCTCTCTCCTTTACTGTCAGGAAGAGCTGTCAGGGAGACCTTGTGTTGAATGAGTGATCACTCTGCTCCCAGCTCTTGGTTTCTGTGCCCACCTGTGCCCATGACATCCCGGGAACTGATGGCTGAGTTGGGCCTCTTTGTTGCTGCTCAGCTTCCAAAAGGCTGCTTCCTTCTCAAGTGACATGGGGAAGATGGCTAAACTGCCACCTGCGACACTTGCATCCGCTGTAGGTGCTGGTTCCAGGTCTGGATGCTTCACTTCAGCTCCAGCTATCTGCTAATATGCCTAGGAAAACAGAGGGCCTTGTACCACCCAAGTGGGATAACTGAGCTGTTGGTTCAGCCCTTAATATTGTGACCAGTTGAGGCGTGAACTAGCAGAAGGGAGCGCTGTCACTCTCTCTCCAACTCTGCGTTTCAAATTTTTTTAAAAATCTTTTTTTTAAAAGGTTTATTTTCATTGCAAAGTCAGATATACAAAGCGGAAGAGACAGAGAGGAAGATTTTCTGTCTGTTGATTCACTCCCCAAGTGGCCACAACGGCCGGAGCTGAGCCTATCCAAAACCAAGAGCCAGGAGCTTGTTCTGGGTTGCCCACACGGGTACAGGAACCCAAGGCTTCAGGCTGTCCTCGACTGTTTTCCCAGGCCACAAGCAGGGAGCTGGATGGGAAGTGGGGACACCAGGACATGAACTGGCACCCATATGGGATCCCAGCACATTCAAGATGAAGGCTTTAGCCACTAGGCTACCATTCCAGGCCCAAAATTAATCTTTTAGAAAGGAAAATATTGCTATTATCTTCTGGAATATGGGAGGGTGCTGCCCTAGATTTCCATTACTAGCAACATTTGTACCTGACAAGTAGTTAAAAGGTTATCTGGAGAAAGAGGGGAGAATTAACATGTCTAGTGGGAGAACAAACAGTAGGAGAGGATTAATTGCTTTCAAATCAATTTAATCCCTCTGAAGAAGCAATTCCCTAGAAGACATGAGAAACAGCTATGTGTCTGTATATGCATATTGTTACATATAAACTTATATACTATAATGAATAAATTACCCCTACTTGAAAAATGTAATGAACATATACTACATTGGAATGAGAAGCCCTTCAGTATATGTGTACTTTGTGCAAGATTACAGAAGCCTCGCTCGCAGACTCTTGGGATTAGGAAGGAATGTAGAAGGCATCTGGCCAAGTGCTTCTCAGAGTATCTTTTCGTGTTAACAGTGAATCAGTTCTTATTAATGTGACAGAGAAGAAAAACATGCAGTCTTTCATTCAGCTAATGCCCACATGACCCCGTTCACTTCCCGTTTTGAGACTCGGTAACTGTTGCGTTAAGGGATTTGCGGAAGGGAAATGAATAAAAGAGGAAGTGCATCTTTCAAAGTAAAATCCCATTTTAACATTTTGAGTTTCATGATGCTGAGTTTCACCATTTATAAAATAAACTTAGCCTTTTAAGAACTGTAAGAAAAACTCTGATATCATAGTCAGGAAAGATCAGAATTCCATGTACTGGGATAAAAGTCATTTGGTTTTGTTTCTTTGCAAGGCAGAAAGATGAAAGCAGATTTTCTCTCTGCTGGTTCCCTCCCCAAGTCCCTGTACTAGCCAGGCCTGGAGTAGAGGGAATCCAGGAGGCAGGAGCAGAGTCAGTCTCCCCCAAGGCAGCCATCACTCACTGCCTCCCAGGGTACAGGTGATCCTGATGGAAGCCAGGTCTGAAGTTGAGCCAAGACTTGAACCCAAGCTTTCTGATCTCTAACTCGGGCATCCTACGCAGCATCTGAACTGCGACACCGCACACAGCTGCCACCAGCAAAGTGGATTCAAACCTGAGAGCGGCAGATCATCCTGAAAACCTTGGTGTGTCGAAGGTAATGGAACGAGGCTGGGTCCGGACCAGCAGGTGGAGGCTGTGCAGTCAACTCTGACTGGAATGGTGGACAAGCTCAGACACTGAGTTCTTGTCACAACCTCCTTATCAATAACAGAGTTATTTTTGTCTTCCTGCTTACATTTTACATGCATGCCACAAAACCCTGAAGCAGAGACAGTTATTTCCAGTCCTTGTGTGGCATGGGTAGGAGCACAGAGGCTGCCTGAACCCAGACGAGCTGACTTCTCTCCAAGGTCCCCCTTAAGCCAAGAGTGAGGCAGGAATCTCCCCACGGAGGTACCGACATTTAGACTGTGGCATCCATGGTTAAGAGGACTGATTGTGCACCCAGCCCATCTGGGCTTGGCTTGCTTCTCCGCTCAGCAGCTGGGAGCTTTTCTAATCCTCACGGAGCCTGCCCTTCCCGGCCTGTGATGTGTGAGTGAAAGCGGTCATCACCTCGTCCACTTGTTTTGAGGATGAACAGTTTCCTCAATCCACTTCAAACAGCGCCTGACAGCACCGGCTCAGTAAACGGTAATTACCGGAGGTTCTCTGGTTGGGAGACCTTTGCTGTTCCTTGTGAATTCATCTCTTTGGCATTTTTCTTTGTAGATATGATTGGCTCAAAGATCGAAGCCACAGACAAGAGGACAAAATGCGTCATCTGGGTTTATCTGGTTCACAGCCCAGCTCAGGAGACTCAGCCTTCGATTACTAATAACCATACCTAGGGTTAGTCCCAAACACTTTTGGAAAACTCTAAAGTCAGTGATTTCAGTAGACTGGGATCATCAGCTGAACATCTTCCATCTCCTACCTGGGGTGCTGCTTGGGAGGTGGCATGTTGCCCAGGGGAACCAGGCTACAGCCCCGAGGCAGGACAGACATCCTGTAACATCTCATGCTGAAGCAGAGGCACATGTGAGATGTGCCTGTATGCGTCCACCCCGGAACATCTGGCAAAGAATGAAAGCAAGTCCCCGTTACTGCAGATCCTCTCATAGCCGTGGGATGTGCTTTTGGACATGGTTTGTTGTTTTTAGTTCCATTTTTTGGTACACATGTGTTGATTTCCTGCTCCTGGAACCAAGCACTGGTGTGCAGTGAGTCTGAACAGCCACCTCAGCTCTTCCAGGTTTTGCTTGAGCACGATGACCTGAGTCCTGTGCCCTGCACCTGGATACCATGAATGTCTGTTTCTGAGTCCACTCATTGTGAAATCAAGGACCCAAAGGCTGTCTGAGACAGACTTCCAGCCAGAGACTCCAGATATGGGCAAGGGATCTGGGGGCTGGTTTCATCTGGTGCCATCCGGTTCCATCTCGCTCTGCACTCAGCAGATGACCTTCCTGTGCCCTCTCTCCCAGAGGATCCTTGGAGAAATAGGACTTTTGAACAGGTTCTTTCTTGTTCCCCTGTTCCCATCCCTCTTACACCATTCTTTTATCTTGCTTAAATGAAGATGAATTTGCATCCACACGCATGCTCTCTCACTCACTCAGCTGATGTAGCAACTCATTTCCTCCCTGCCTTTTTAGAGTTAATTGAACTCTGCAAGCACACACATTATAATTAAACTCTTTATACTTTATTGCTTTAAACTATTTCATCTGCACTCTTTTTTTTTTTTTTTGAGATGTCATGTGGACATTGCTGAGTTTCGGTCCTGATTCAAAAAAAATTTTTTTTAATTAAAATTTTCCTTTAAAAAAAGAACTTCAAAGATTTCCTGGATCAAACAATCCAGCAGTTTTAGAGATGCTTCTAAGTCATTTTTGAATGAGGCCCTATTGGGAACTTGGCTTTCAAGAGTTTTAGTTAAGTTTTGGGGAACAAATAATTTCTCCTGTCTTCAGCAACTGCAAATTGTGCTGAAGGTTGAGATGGCCTGAAGGAGTGTCTCCTGCACCAGGAAGCCATTAGAGAAAGCCCATTTGCAGCAAGACTGTGCTCTGCAAAGTAATCTT